GGGGGGGGGTCAAGCATATAGGAATTGTGAAATTATTCAGTAGAACTAGCCTGTCAGGATATCATTTAAAATCAGCACATGAGAAAGGCACTTTATTGCGTAGCATCGTTTCCTTTTTTTTCCATTGCTAGTTTTCCAAAAGGAGGACACAGAAGAAGGTCTCTCACATGGGTTCCTACCGAATTAACTAAAAGACATGCACGTCCTGAATTTGAAAAATTCGGGACTGGCAGTTATGACAGCATTCTATTTGAAAAAATAGTGAAGACAAATCTAAACTACAAAAGGTTGGTCTGAGAATGCAATCCACTAAATAAAATAGTAAAATTACATGAAAAATGTAAATCCTAAGTGTTAGAGACAAAAGCACCTTCCCCTTACTGCCATCAGATTTCTGCTCCCATAATTGCAATCTTAAATCACCGAAACAAGTATCCCTACAAGCTGGAGCCAGCCCAGCTTCTGAGGTGGGAGCACGCAATGTTGTACCTGGATCCTTAGTTGTTGCTTCCAATTCTACCTGCTCCAAAAAAAAAAATTCAATCTGTTAGAGATGAGCACAAACCCTTCAATATTTCAAACAATGATTGGACCCAGGTTTCCTGGAGTTGCATGAAATCAGTTAGAATTTCCTGCCCTGAGTGTATTAATCATCACTTGTTCAAATAAAGGGAAACTGACCAAAACCATGGATTTTTGTCACCAAATTTAGGTTGGGGATGTAAATATGAATACTAGCAAGGGACAATTAAATCAAGAACCATTGATATACATTTACCTTATGGTTTTCATTCTCTGCAGATATGTACCAGTAACCCCACTGGGAAATTTCCCAATTAACAACTCCATTCCACGGCGCAAATTCATAAAAAACTCCCCCATGGTGAATTCCAACCTACATGCACGATGTCATAGCATGAATCATAAGTACTTCTATGGAGGACCTGACAACAAGATCTCTTACTTTTATACCAGGAAGTCGAGAAAAAATAAAATAGTATGTTGCTTTAGATGGGAAATAAGCCATTTTTCAGTAAGCGGGCAGTTAAATGGCTGCCATCTCCACATTCTTAACTTCATCTACCTTCAAACTTTAAAGGAGATAATTCACTGAACCAATCAGACAGTGCAACCTAGCATGGCGCCAACTAGCCCACACCCACCAACTAGCTGATAACAGGGATCAACACTTTAGTCGACTGATAGGCACTGCAACAATAAAGACTTATCCTCGAGTAAATTGATAGGATACATTGATTAAGGACACCTGTTCGTCTCGAGATCCATGACGAAGCTGAGGGAGGCCACATGAACAGCCCTAACACACGGACATGTGACACAATCACCACTAACCACGTCGGAGTCAGCAACAGAATTGATTCCCTTGATGTCAGCTAAAAGATGAGCACCACAAATGCAGCCAATAAATCCAAAACAGGAATCAATGGAAAAGCAGGATCGCCAGTTAGATGATTATCCGACCAAAGAACACAGACCGACGTCCTCAAAGTCATTACACCTAAATGGGCCTCTCACCTGCAGAGATCATTAGAAAGCCAAACATGGGCAGTCATTGGGGAGCCAATCATAAGCTCTCTGTCGCAAAGGAAGTTGCAAGGAGCTAACAAGGGCAATCATCAAGGAGCCAATTGTAAGCTTGCTCGCACAACGGAAGCAGCAATAAGCCAATCAGGGAATAACTTGTTCCCAAAGGTCAGGAAACAACATGCCATATAATGTGCATACACAGTAACCACAAGGCACGCAACTGTTTACCACACCAGCACCCCCAACTCTCTCTCTCGGTCCGAGTATCCATTACTGATTTAAGCATTGGAGGGATCCTGCCACTGATACCTCCAGCATCCCTCTAAACCTTATTTCTGTCTTGCAGGCCATTCAAGGAGATCCAAGTGTTAGCCCCACAGTGATTGCCAGTTTTTTTCCGTGCACATGCTCATAGCAAATCAACGAGTGCAGTGTGCATAGAACAAATCTTTTTTCAGATCATCTCTTAGAAAAGAGACTGAAGATATTTCAAACAAATTATATCATTAACCAAAAGGCCTGGAACTTTGAGTCACAACAATACATGGAATACACAGATGAAAGTTGATCTCATGCTAAGAAACAATAAAAGAATGAATTTCCAGAAGGAGAAACAGGTTTTTCTAACTAAATCCATTCACCTTTTTCCTCCCTTCTGTCTGTCTACTTGTATATCCATACTTGTTATATCTATTTAATATCTATATTAGACAATTAGTGGATGTAAGGAAATGGAAAAACAGAGCAAAATTGAAGGGATCCGAAAAGGAAAATACCAATGCAGCATTTTCAAAGGTCTCACTCAGTCCAGGTAGTTGCCTCAATCCACCAGCTGCAGTTAAAGCCACTTCTCCACTTGCACCTTCAAAGACATTGCATTGGACCTACAAAAAAGCATAAAAAATAAAAACTATAAAGAGCATCATTTGGTAAGGTATTCAATCTTAGTCAACTAGCAATGCATCAATGGTGATATTGTTGTGATTACGCCAACAAAAAATGTGCTACACAATCAAACTAAAACAGTATAAATATCCTAACAAAGATGTACAACTGAAAGAAAGAGAGAAGATTGGTGGAGGAAGTACACTTAAAAAGGCGAAAGGCATGCATGATTGTAGAACCGCTTATCTCATGGGGAAGTCATCCATTTTTCAAAAATTGAAATGGGCGAGCAAATCCAGTACCATAAGACAACAGATCAGCTTTCTAAAGTAAAACACGTTTATTAGCTGTTTCCTTTCTTCTTTAATATTTGTATAGCTGGAGTGCACCAATAAAACTTGCACAATAAGAAATAAAGCCAGTAAAAACAAGCTGGACTTTTACTACAGCTAGATGACATGGAAAAGGTAAACATTTACCCAAAACCACTTTCTTGGGAAGGCGCCACCCCAATTCTTTTCCGAGTAAGATGGGGCATTTTGGAACTCAAACCTTTCACCATCCCACTCTATCCATCCTGAAATAAAACTTCAGGCATTAAAAATCAGAGCTTCAGCCATTCAATTTCAAGTAGACGATAAAGCACAAAACCAAAGCAAAATGCATTCATCTTATTTCCACAACTTTTTACCAATATACCATTATTTTACTAAGTGAAAAGTGAGCCTTCACCAAAACATTATTATCAACTAGAGCCAGCAATAACAGCATAGGTTACATGTATATTATCATAGAACAAGTTAAAAAACAGTAGATGAAAGCATTAACCCACTGAACACTTCTGCCTAGCTCTGTTTCATCTTATGAATTTAAGTAAAATCATAGTTACAATTTTCCAACTGAGTTACAACTAAGACCATATAGGATAGTATTATTCCCCAAAACAGGAGCTAAATAATCCTGTTATATCATCAGGTTAATCAAAATTATATAATAGATGATTTGTATATTCAATACACAAATAACATGTCTCGAGAATTTACTCAACCACTTGCATGTTTTGTGAATGCTGAAAGCAAGTTGAAGATTCCACAGTCTATGGTTCGGCAACATGATCTGGTAAACTTGCCAATAAACGTCAAGTACCACAGGTGCATCTAAAAGTTAGGATCCAAATTGAAAATAATGAGCTTCTTTAAAGAAGATAGAATCTACGTGAAGAACGAAAGCTTAGGACAGGTGCAACATGATCTGTTGCACTTGCCAAGAAGGTCAACTATCACAGGTGCATCGAAAGCTTAGGATCCAGATTGATAATAAGGAGCTTCCTTAAAGAAGATAGAGTCAAAGTGAAGAACTAAGCAACATCAACCATATGCTTCAAGGCAACTTCGTCCGAACTCCATTTCTTCCTAAAAATCTGAACTTAAACCACTTGTTAACTTCAAATCGAGTCTACTAACCAATCACATACTCAACCAGCATCTACTCCAAAGTTCATTGCATTGTCAGGAGTTAATGTAAATTTTGAAATCGTTAGGTGTACATCCACGCTCTCCAATTTGTTCTCACAATTTCGCTCCAATCCATCATATTCATCTAGGGCCTCAACAGCTGAGGTGCAATTTTACAGGATTTTAACAGCAGTTGAGAAACAGCTACAGATACGGCGGCTCTTTGACACTAACAAAATGGAGAATAGAATTGCAAACTCCATAGGACAGTAAATTCATTAGCAATACATGAAGCTAATCAAATAAAAATAGAAATTGCTAACAAGAAGAAATTTAGCGAATACCTGTCGACAGTCCCCCAGCCATGCATATTTGCCAATGAGGTTCGAATACTGGAAAAGCTGCAAGCCAGCCTGCGGTCGATTTCTGCTTAGCCCCAACATCACCCCATCCATAAATGGGCCGAGTACTGTACTCCCAACGCGCAGTCTTTACAGTTTCAGCATAATTTGTCCTGCCAAGCTAACTCATGTCATATAATAAATATAATTGGAAAAACGAAGTACGATTTAAATTTCGCTTGGTGCAAGATCAGGGAACGACGCCTAAGTGCAAATTTGGGAGGGACACATACTGCTCAAGCATCACGTCATTACAGCAAGCAATCGTGGTTAATAATTAAAGACAAACACAGAAATTGAACCTCCCGAAAAAACTACAGAAATTGGTGCGTGCACATTTCACACCATTCGTTCTGAGAGTGCCTGACCCACAAACAGACTTGATAGAGGAAATCGTCAACCACACTACTTTCTAAGGGCATCACAAATTAGTTAGACGACATAGAAAAAAATTTACCCAGTTGTATGGAAACAAAATAAAAACTTTAAGGAAGCGTAGAAACAGTTTTAATCTATCAGATAACAATTGTAAAGCACAAATGAAAGAATATCACCCCACTTGTAAAGGACATTTTTCCCTTCAATAAGAAAAATTGGGACATTTCCCAAAAAAAAATCACTAACGAGTTTTCTATGCCAATTTTCAGTTTGTGGAAACATCCAAGATTATCTTATGTAATGCATGACATAAAAATTCAACCAACATTACGAAGAATGGCATACCTTCCATCATCACAAATGAAACCTTGATGCCAAAGTGGGGTGACTTGAAAACCTTCCAAAACCCTTCGATTGAACTCCTGTAAAAACCACCAGGAGAAAAGATAAAATACTGGTCATATCATGAATAATATTATCTATGTTATACCTAGAGAAATATCTACAGCTTGGTCTTTTCAAATAGAAGAGACATTAAAATGATATCATCAATAGGATATTGCATGACTTAATTCAATCATAATCCACTTCAAAAATCAGAGGAGTCGGATGTAATTATTTTATAATTGAAGAGCAATGCCACATGGACTTAAAATTTAGGCTTAAAAACTAGACTTGATAATTACAACCATTGATTTCACTGTGGGTCCCAGTCCCAACATTTATTGAGACTCATTATTTATTCAATGGTTGTTATTATCAAGTCTACTTTTTAACTCTAATTTTTAAGTCCATGTAACATTACTCATAATTGAAATTCCCCAACGCGAAGCTATTAATCGCGCAATATCGTATTTTTATCTTGACTGCGGAAAATCTACATCAAATTCCACTATAGAACACTTCACCTTTCAACTATCATACTGTGCTATAGTAGATGTCAAAATGTAGGATTGAACATAGCACTAATACAGTCCGTTGTTCAATTTTGAGATGAAATTGTGTATGGGCATTACAACCAAGATCAAATTTTCGTTTTGAAAAAGTCGACCAGCCAAAAAGTTTATGTTCTAGAGGAGACCAAAATGAATTGGTGATTGAATCGAAATTTTAATGTTTCGAGGTGTTTCGTAATATTTCAAGGTATTTCAGAATGTTTTCACCAATATTTCAAAATATTTTGAGGTGTTTCAATATGTTTCTGTATTTCTCTATCAATGTTTCAAAATGTTTTGGACATAAATTCTCAAATTTCATATCTATTTCCATTTTGTTTCCGAAATGTTTTTGAAGCATTTACAAAACATTCCAATGCACCAAAATAAAATTTTAATCATTGGTTACAACAACTAGAGATAGTAACCGAAGAATAGAAAACTAATATGTAGATTTATGAACCTTACTGCATCAAAATCCGCTCATGTTTTTTGTTTTCATTTGTGCTACTCGAAGACAAATTAAATGTCATTTTTTGTTGTAACAACAACACAGAGAAATGACTTCCTTGCCCCTCCATTATGGATATGGAAGTTCTATGCATCGCATAGGAAACAACAAAAACATATTCCAAATGGATGTTTTTGTGGATCCCTTAATCACACCAATGAAATCATCAATAGGTACATTAAATTTAACCGGAGGAAAATTCCCCATCAAGGTAACAACAATTCTAGACCAAAAATAACCTCCTCCCCTTTAGATAAATACACCACCTTCAACTACTGCCTTGGGAAAAAAGGATGTCAAAGCCTGATGGCACATATGACAATGTATCAAAAGGCAATAGCTTTTTTTCAATGAACTCTAGCATGAGGAAGGATTTTACTCATTTATTTGCACATTCTTTCATACAGTTTCCAGGTTGCACATAAATGATATAACAACTATAATACAGTATGTTGATAATAACCACCAAATCAATAATGAAACAAAATTAATTGCATAATGTACATCGAATCACCGACAGGTAAAGAAAACAACCATTTGATAAGTTAGTTTTGACATCTGCATAGAAAGAAGAGAATCCAAAGAAAGAAGGGTGACCTGAGGTGGAACCTCCTTATTTGGAGGCCGTGTGTCTTTTGGGGCTGTAAAAGTATTCCCAAGCACCAGCTCGTGCCTACCTATGCATTGGCAAATCATTGATTAGAATATTGGATGGAAAATTTTGAGCAAAAGGTGAAAAAGATCAAATATGTTATGTTCCATTAACAACAGCAGGATTATTTGTATTCTTTCAAAAGGATCAACTTTCAGGAACCTGAAACATTATAATCACCCTTCATCTAAAAGCTTTCACGAAATATTAAAATAGCCAATATTAAACTCCCAAAAGCCACAAAAACAATTCTGTTAGCAAAATAGGAACAATGTTGTGCTAACATAAGGTTTAATATTAGGATCACAGAGGAGAAATTAATACATAACAGCAAGTATTGTTTAATTCAAAGGAGACACAAGTTGCTGAGAATGAATCAAATTTGACTGCATAAGAAGATAAAGTCCAAACTAATGAATTATGAGTTCAATACATCCTGTTTGGAAGAAAGAGTGATACATCCTGTTCAAGACATTCTTGCTCATTATCAGACAATCACTTATTCACAACATCGTGTGGGGCCTAATCGTTTTAAAATGACTGATCAACAAATGTTGTAGCCTTGGCAAGGCTATGCTCTACCATTAAGCTATTTCGGCTACCTAAAATCGAGCATCCATTCATAATAAAAATAATCAGTAGTAGCTTAAAATGTAACCTTACTTCCCCAAAAATTCTGAGATTCTTCAGTATATTGGCAAATATACTTGTCATAGGCACCAAGAATTTGAGCACCAACTCCTGTAAATCGAGGCCCATGTTGTGCCTCCTCCAGTCTGCTCAAATTCCTTCGGAATGCAGGATTCTCCACAGAATACATAAAGCAGAAGCTCTGCCTCAACTCTGGTATTGAGACCTTGAAGTACCAACCTTCAAAAAATTTCCTAGTACTTCCATCAAAATGGTACCTGATCCAAGAACCAATGCACATGACAGAGTGTGAATATATCATAATTGTGTTAAGGAACTTGCAACATAAACCATCGTCCACAAACAAAAAGAGATTCATGTACCCACTATTCCTGGTGTTTGTATATTTAATTACATAGATATATGATGAATTAGAGCTCTGTATAGTTTATGGAAAACCCAAGGGAAAGATAGGAAAGCCAAAATCTCTACTCAACTATGCTTTAATAGAACTCTTACACTGCTAAAGCATTCCCATGCTCGTTTTCGTTTTTGTTGGAAACCAACACAAGAATAAAAGAACAATACTCATCTCCCACCTCAACTATCCCACAACCAAAAGGACATACGGGAGGATTCTTACTAGTGGTTCTTGTCCCCCATTTCCAGTATCAAAGCAAAGCTACAGTGAATAAAGAAGCCTCATTTTTCTTCTTTTCTCTCTTGATTATTTTGAAATAACTCACACATTCAACCTATAATAGTATCTCACATACAACACGGTGAAGGGCCTAACTTCCAGAGGTGTGATTAGACCTCTACAATGTTAGCCATCACAATGAGGGGCAAAAACAGACTTTTTTTTACCATTCTGAAAACAGATACAGGCACTCAACCTATAAATCCAAACCCACACAAGCCCCAGTTCTAATCATTTCCTTCTTTTCCTTTAGAACCAAACAAGGTAAACAGATGGAAACACTAATTTCCGCCACGCTGTTAAGCTGAAGGCAAAAAAAAAAAAAATTAGTCCTTGAGCAGGTCCAGAGTTCAACTCTCCCTCAGGCCATCCCCAGGTAATTATCCCAGTAATACCTGATGCATGGGATGGGGCTCAAAAAGGATTCAGTGATTGCTAAAAGAGGCCCAGACACCTCCATGTTAGTGGGCAGGGCGGGGGTGGAGAGACCACCACCACCACAACAACATTAATATTCTGTGCATACAAATGCACATATTGCAGGCAAGGTAAGACTTTGATAGTGACGGAGGTCTTATACTGAATGTTATAATCTTTTGGGTTGAGTTACAACTTTTTCAGATGAGTTACACAGTCAGTTTACTACAAATAAAAAAATTAAGATCTATCCTCAAAGATTCCAACATTATACAATCAATCCTAATAGGAACGATCTCAAACACTCTAGTTTGTGTAATTTCAACCAAAAGAATTGCAAATTTCGGCACAATACATATTCTAGTCTCACAGCTGAAATCAAACTAAAATAACAGAAATTTATGCGCTTAAACAAAAATTAACCCCTATATATGCAAAACTAATATGCTTCTGAGAATTCTTGATCTCTCTCAATATCTCTATCAATTCGAAAATGCAGGATTTGAATTGATGTCCTTTCATTGATTCCTCCTAAATTGCATTGATTTATTCTAAAGAGAATTAGAAACAACATTATTCAAAATTATTAAGACGTGTAATCGAATTTCTACCCGCTGTGAGGAGTTCTAGTATCGCGACATGTAGGCGTGGGCACATAAACAGGACTCACAGCCTTCATAATCTCCGTTTCTGGCTTATCAACAGTGGATGAATCTAGAAATTCAAATTTCGACACCGATTCCACAGCGAAGATGCGTCGACTCGCTCCAACCCTTAGTTGTAATGGACTCACTGAAGCACCAAATGGTCCACAAATTGAAGATTGAACCAATTTGGAACTTCCGATAAAATTCAGAGGTCTAGAATCCAGAAATGTTGAGCGGAAGACCCGATTGGATGGGCAATTGTATGGAGGGTTGTTACAGACGGTGTATACATGCGTTTCCATTGAGCTTGTTCGATTGTGAATCTGCAGAGGCAGAGAAGTGATTGTTCACGCACACACACCCCCAGAGAGAGGGGGAGAGAGATGCAGAAGTGAGGAAGCGTGGTGAGTTTTGATACTATGTAGCAACAGGTGGCGGCCAAACTTAATAATCTACGTGTCCAAATCAAACACACACACACTTACACGGAGAAGACTAAGCTACCCAAACAATACAACAAGAAAATTTATAATAATTTTTGGGGTCGTATTATAATTTTGAAAGTTAGAGTTTTAATTTTTTGAGGTCAAGTTATTATTTTTAGTAATTTCTTCAAAAAAAATATTTTAGGGTAAATTATATTTATACCCATTCAACTGTCATTTTTTGTTTACTTTATCTTATCAACTATAAGTGTTTTTATATTACACCCTTAATTATGTGATTAGTTTTATATTATCCTAAGTATTAATATCCGCCCCATATTTAACGAAGATTTATTTTATTTTATCTCCAAACTATATAATTTTTTTCCACTTTACTTTGACACATCAACAGACATTTAATGCATATATAGTTTTTTTTTTATCACACATTAAAGGATATTATTATTCAATAAAAATCACAGAGGTGAATTCGAAACAAATTCCAATAAAAGAATCCCCTACTTATATAGTGGGGTTCTTGCTAACTTGTCTCTCCTTGGGGTTGAGTACATATAGTTTTTTTTTTTTTGGATTAATAGTACTTTTAATCTCTAAAATATATCCGTTTTGTTAGTTTGGTCTTTATTGTATAAATTTTTATAAATTAATCTCTAAAGTTTTAATTTGTGTCACTTTAGTCCCTAATTAAACAATTTGTTAAATTTTTTTACGAAAGTGATCATGCGTCATTCTTTCAGATGATATCACGTGACCAACACGTGATCATTCCGTCAAAAAACTTAATGATCTATTGAGACTATATAAACACGAATTGAATACTTTAGGTGCTAAACTAATAAAATTAATATTTTAGAGATCAAATCGATAAATCGTGCATACTTTAAAAACTAAAAGTGTTTTTATTATTTTTTTTAGAAGGTAAATGAATACATATAGTTTTGATAGTAATGGGATTTTATTTTTGTCTAGCCACCCTAGTAAACAACATGTACTTTTAATTTTCAAATTTTTTTTGTTTATTTTTCTTCCTTTCTCACATTCATGTCCAAGCTAGATGGCTCCTAATATGTTACATGACTTGGTTGAGATTTCATAGATAAACCTAATGAATCAAAGTAGTAACTACATTTTGATTATATAAAAAAAGTTATGCAACTTTAAAATTAATGGAAACCATAGACGGCAGTTTACGTGGTAAAAAAAGAAGTTGTAAACTCAGACGTTCTAAATTTAAATCTTGATAATTTCTTGTAGTCATGTTATAAAAGATTTATCCCTGATGAATATCTTATTCTAGGCGTGGATGATTTCTTTGTCACCAGACTGGAGAAATGATTAGTCGAGATATGCGTAAATTAGCCCAAATATCTCTTATCATTGAACTGCGAAAAAATGAAAATTAATGGAGCTAGTACATTATGTTTTTTTATTTCATTTCGTTGTGAAAATATATGAAATTCTATGCTACTTTAGTATAATTAAGTCTGGTCTCAGCTAAAATTCGTTCACGAGACTAGTTAGTGGAATTTTTTTACTTTTTAAAAGACAATAATTTTTCCTTTTTTTCAAAAAAGTTGTCTTTTTTAAATATTCCTTCTTCATTTTTCAATGTGGTCGGGTGGGTGATGAGAAACTAACTCAAAGGCATCGATCTCCATAATGAAAAAACACAAGAAAAAACATAGCTGAAACATGTGAAGGTGTCACCTTAGTTCCATACTTCCATTGTGAGAGATTTAATAACCTATGCTATAAGGAAACATGTATTTAGGTCCTATAATATGATCAACTAGATTAGCATATTCTCTTGTGTTTTCTTTTAGTAAACTCTTCGTAATTTTCATTCTCAACAGTGATCTCATCGTTGTGCTTCACTCGTGAACTTAAATAAGAATGGAAGTAAAAGTTTTGGTAATACCACTATGACTGTTACAGATGCGCAGAGTGTGGTGGTTTCTTGATCCTCGACTTGTACTTGCGGATTTAGGGGTACAAAAAAGGGGATATCATTTGTTGCGCAAACTGTAACATGATTGACTTTCTATTTATATAATAATGGATCAAGGTATTCATCGAGCATAAGTTATGATAAAAGGCCCCGATCTTGGAAGAGATACAACTTTACGAGCTATTCATAGAAATTGTATACTATAAATTTCTGTATGAGATGTAACTCCCATAACAGTTATACTTTTCAATTGGTTAGACCCTTAACTTTAAGTATCCATCGCAAAATGGGTGAATGTTCGGTTAAAATGAAGAAAATGGGTTTGACAGATTTATTATCCCAACGAAATATAATTCTTTCCAAAATTATATACTTTTTAAAAAAAATTTAGTACTTCTAGCGAAATAGTTTTTCGCTAAAACTATAATTCACATTATTTTTTTTATAAAATTAAAGTTACAAATAAAATTTAGTATTACCCACCAATTAATTATTAGTTAATATTTACCAATGAAATGTATATTTCTTTGCTATATATCTATTTTCACCTACAAATTTTGTTTTCCTGCTAAATATTTTCCAAGTAAAAGTCAAAATTCTCATAGTGTCGACTATAATTGGATAATATGCTAATTGTTATGCCCAACTTGATGAAGGACTAGCTTTTGTGTTATTTGCATTGGGATGCCATTGTACTACTGTTGTAATTAGAGACAATGGAATAGATGACTAGTCTTGACGTCGCAATAAGTAGTGAAATGTGTGTTATAAATTCGAGTCGTGAAAGAAATCTCCCTGTAGTTAACTTTTTCCAAATCCTACAATATTCGGAGCTTTTGATATGTACTTTTACAATGCCATATGCTACCCTATAGTTATGAACGTGGTTTCCTTTTGCCCCTTTGAACACACACAAACGGGAAAGAGGATAGAGGGTGGGGTCATTATAGTGGTTAAGGTGAGTCTTCCTACACGGCTGGACGCCTAGCTTTAAACGAAGTTGCGGCCCTTCTAACCATTGGATGACAACCTTGGAATGAAGAGGCTTTGAGGACCTTTCTTCTAAGGAGAAAGAGCAAACTTGTCTCTCTATGGCTACCATGTGTCTATTACTTACAAGATCAAAAGATCAAATCAGTGAGGCAATGGCACAATACAAAAAAACCCACCTTTGTCATATTCGAGTGCAGAGCTAAGATTTCAAAATCAAAAAGACATAGCGATGATGAATATGATTATAATATGATGTATGAAATGAGTACAAGTTAAACTTTTTGAAAGCTATAGCAATTAATTACTTGAAGTTCTTTACTTATGTGGATTTGAGCTTTTTAAGGCCGCTTCTTGTACAAGTATAAAAAATACTAACGATCGATCGTAATATTTTAGAATTGATTCCGACTTTTTTCTGCCGCACCTTGGCCTTATTTAACTGTAATTAATATGACTTAAAAATTATAATTTTTGGGTACGGTATCTTATCGGATGCCATATCACATTCAATAAAAGAATCACCAAATTAACATGTCTAGATGCTGATACATGAGCAGATAGCACATGAATAACCAATAATGTAAAAAGAAAGAAGATTATAACTGGTGAGTCCTGGAAAGCTTGATATCATTGACTTGAATGATCCATGACATGCTGTGTCTTCACTTTCAAGTAGGATACCATACCTTCAAGCGAAGGTCTTGAAGCCAATGCAGCATTAACAGCAATATGCATCACATTGTACAGAATCAGAACAAAACCCAGTTCAAGATTAGCCCTTAGGGTAACAAAATACGGTGATAGCAGAGAGAAAACGTCGCAAGAATCGATCAAGATGATCGAAAAGAGTGTAATGGAGAAGGCAAGCAAGAGGCAGATCATGATGAAGAGGACAACAATGAGAAGGACAAAGGAGATGAATGAACCATGAAGAAGTGCAACGAGGATTAGGTCGAGGTTTGGTACCATCTGTTTTTGTTTTTTTTTTTTTTTTTTTTT